TAGGCACAGTATAAATGCAAAACAGATGCTGTGGTTGCTGTCAGAAAGCAAAAGTAATTTGTTTCTTTTTAATACAAGTCTACTAAGTACTGTTTCAAGACATATTTGAAATTACTTGCATTAATGGTAAGGGAAGGAAAATGCAAAATGATTTGTTGTGTAAGTTAGTCTGAAACAACGCAATACGGGTATCTATTGTATTTTCTGCTTCTGTCAAGAGGTTTGTGTCATGTAACCTGCTCAGGTTGGATCATGTAGTTATAGCAGTAAGTGTCTTTCAGTAAGAATATTCCTCAGCTTAGTAGTTTCTTGTAAAAGGTATCAACTAGGCCTTAAGCTGCCAGTGATGCAGCTATATGTTTTAGCAGTCTCCTTCAAGAAAAGTCTCAAGATTCACAGCGTGCATCTGATTTACCTGATCCTCTCACAGGGTTCTTGTTCCTGGTATTAAATTAATGAACCTGAGGTGTAGTGTGAAATTGATTAATAGTGGCTCTCTGGTTCCTACTACTCACGAGGTCATAGTTTCTGTGTCATGGTAATTGCTAGATTTGAAAAGTGTGTTTCCAGCATTTGTTAATAATATCAGGAGGTTTCCTCTTAGCCTTCCTCATGTCATGGTTGGAGGGACTGTGCTGGCATACAGGGGCGCTATTGGTGAAGGGATTGCTGCTTCTCTTCATAACTTTTCCAGAAATTCTATTATTTAGGGCAGTAATTAGAAGATTTAATGATAATTTTGCAGCTGGTGGAGCAGAGGGAGCACTGACAGAGGCATAGCCGAGGATGTCCTTCGCTCTCTTGTTTCTAAGAGTTCAAAATAGTTTTGCATTCCTGGGTCCCAAGGGGGTTCTAGATTTCATTCTTCTGAATATCTGTCCATCACTTAAACGCACAGAAGGAGCTAAGCCCTTAGAAAAAGGGAAAATCTTAAGAGGTGGCTGTTGTGGCCTTGGTTCAGATCTTTTTCCTGCCCTTTCAGGTGTATTATACAGTAGGATGCTTCCTGCTTGCGTGATTACCTCCTGTTCCTTCTATCTACTGTGGCAGAGGCATACATGATATAAAGTAGAGCACAGATGCTGAATTATGGGGTGATGAAAAGTTCAATACTTTACACAGAGCCTTTTTTCTCATTTCTAGCTGTAACGGAAAGCACCTGAGAATGGAATGAAAGGCATTAATAACCCCAGCCTTTGCCACTGCCTTCCCAGCATGCAGCAATTCTGAAAAGTGCAGAAGAGGTCCATTGGTATATTTACCTAGTGTAGTGTGGCCAAAAAAAAAATATCGTGAATTTATATTAGATCTCAGCTCAAAAGCCATTTTACCAGCACCCCACTGTTTGCTAGCAGTGCTTGCCTGAATAGAAAGTAAGTTGATGACTAGTCTAAATGCCCTTCCTTGGGCTGCTCTGGTTTTCCAAGGCAGTGCTGGGAGAATTCAATCACAACTTCATTGTGTTCCCAGTTGATAAAAAGTGCAGGCCACGAGTGGCTGTAATAAACCCCTTGCTGTTAGTCAAGCGATCAAGGGATACTTTAATGTCCCCGTCTTCTGAAAGCCTCTTGGCTAGGGAAGATGTACAGCCACACGTGCAAATGTAGGGCAGAAGTAGAATGCACAGTATTCACAAGCTCTGGCTTCAATTGAATCTTGGCTTGGTTTTTCTGTTTACTACTATATCCTAGTCTTTGAGATGGAATCTAGCATTTATCAGTATAGCTGCTAAAATCCAGTGAGAATAAAACTAGAGAAGTGGCATGGACCATGTACTATTGTTATCCTTTGCAGAGCCCCACTGGCTCAGATTGACTGCTTCCAGTTTATTTATGAAGAGAAATGCTGTATCAGAATGGTTGTTGGCTAAAGAAATGTGTTCAGACACCTTAGCAGAAAATCCTACTATTTGCATCCTTTTTTAATGATGGCAGGCAGCATTCCTTCATTGTGTGTATAGCTATATAGTTAAAGTCTAACCCCCACAGCCCATATGTCTGTTTCCCAAGCACAGTAAGGAATGTTGCCATTGGCACATACAAACAGGTTTTCATTTCTGAAGCTGTGCATGTTTCTTAAAAACCCAGGTGTGTCTGGCAACTAAAACTAATGCCTCTGTTGTCTGGAGGTAGAATTAGCTGCTCTGGGAGAAGGGTTTTCATGCACTACAGCACGAAAACAAGAGGGTGACAGATGAAGCATTTGCAATAAAGTTGCCGAGAAGTGCTTTGGCTACATGGGGTAGAGGAATAGCTCGATTAAGGTGATTGTTTTCTGCAAGCTAATGGCAGCAGTTTTGAAATAAAACCTCTTCATTTTGGCATCTTGAAATTTATACTTGACCTGGACTTGTTAGGCCGCAGAGCTGCTGCAGCATTAAGCTATAGCTGTAGGAAATCCTGAATCCAATTACATTTTCTGCCTAATGGGTCATAATTTATGTTATGAAGATGGTAGTGATGTTGCTGGGGGAAAATGGCATTGGGCATGCTTGGGTATGCATGCCGAAAGGCTGATTGTAAGTGAACATGAAAGTGGGGAGGTTCGCTTTCCTTTCTCACTTGGTTAGTACCAATGTGAGTCAGAAAGTAAGTAGTCATACTGGATTATTCACAGCACAGGCTAGAAACCTTAGCATCATCTTGACATAGCTTTGCTGTAATTGTTGATTCTCCCCTTATTGTACTAAAACCAGGGTTATTTTTCAGCATCTTTGACTTTTTACCTTGAATTTCTGGTGACACTTCTAAAAATGGTATGTTTCTTCTCCTTTGTGCATTTAATGCCAACTGGTTTCACTTTTCTAAGTAAAGGAAGAAAAAATATAGGTGTTTCTCAGTAGTGAGACTCCAAATGTAGGCTTCTAAGGTGTGCATAGTTATTGGGGTAGAAGCTGCTCAAGAGAGGTCGGTTAGTCTTGAAAGCCCAACTTTTACTTCAGATATTTACAGATACACAGATTCAAAAATTGAAGTTTGGACTTTTGTTCAAAAGGTGAGAAGGCTTTTACAGCAGCAATTATTGGAGCCTCTGAACTGTAACAAACATTTAACTGTTCACCTAGGAGCTTTAAATGTTACTTAAATAAATTGTCATTTGGATGAGACTAAGGATTCTTGGTTCTGTACATTTAATTTCTAAACAAGAGATATCACTCACATGCTGAAGACAGGATCATGAAAGACAGGTTGACTGATAATTTGAAAACACTCTACAAAGGTCCCATCATTTAAAAGTGCCTGTATTTTGCTGATGCCCCCAGCTTCTGGAGTGTTCATACTGGAAACTACTGTCATACTGGAGTATTTGCATCACTGCACATTGCTGCAGCTGCTGCCCAAAGACATTAATTGAGTTTGTAATGTTGTCTATGCTCAAATCTAGTTCCATTGTAATGCAGAAGGAGATATGTTTTAGATAGTATTACAAAGCAGAAATCTGGTCTGGAGGAATTCAGAGGTCTGGATTTGAGAGATTTAAGATCTCTTTGTAGTACCTTTGCACTCGTTCCATACAGCAGAAACCTTCCTAGGAATAGCACCCCAAAACATGATTCTCAATGTAAAATTCAGATGTCGGAATGGTTTGTGGAAAAACAACAAAAATGAGCCTACAGATATGGACTGTATTGTCCTTGCTGCACTGAATGTAATAAACTGTTAGCCTTTTGTTATATTTGGCTCTTTGTACTTGCAGTTCTGTTTGGGATTGAGCTATATTAAAGTAGTATAGTTGAGAGAAATGAGATTGTTCAGAAATAAAACAGGATGAATGCAGGACCTATAGGGGCAACATGCAGTTAATTGAAAAGTGCAAAGAAGGTGAGAGAATACCATCAGACAAGGGATAGGAGTTAAATAAAGATGTCCAAAGGGAGATTGAAAACGTCAGAGAATCATTTTGTTTTCTTTCAGCAACAGTATCATCAAATATTCTTTACAGAATTATTATCTAACTTGGATTATTTTTAAATGATTCCTTCGAGGCAGTGCTGGATTCAGTTGTAGGGAGCACAGAAGGTACAGTATCTTTCACTGATTCCCCTCAATTCCAGAAAGGCATGTAACAGATGCTTCACTCAGGTCCATGGAACATCTGCTCTGTCTCTGCTGCCAAAACTCCTTCAGTCTCCTATTGAAAAAGGCATCAAATTAGCAAAAAATAAAATAAAATCAAGAAAACAACAACTAAAAAAGTTAATATAAAAGCAAATGCACTGATGCTATTCCATGAGGAGGCAGTGAAAGAGACCAAAATATTGCTAATACTTTCATTTCTGCTCTAGGAGGGAGTTAGGTGAAATGTGCTGGGATGAACTTGGAAGCAAGTCTCAGCCAGTACTGTGAAGGCAGAACTCACAAACTGTCAACAGTCATTGCCAGTATATACTGGAAGAAATTTCCTAGGTATGCTGTGTCTGTCATAAATGTCTCCAGTTTGCTGGCTATTTGGACTAGGTTTCTGACTGGAAGATCAGAGTAGGAGATCATGGAAAATCAAATACCCAGAGTATGCCCATGACTTCCATGCTGCATTTGTGATGGCTGGTAGCTGGGGCTTGTATGAATGCAGTATCATATAGAGCAACAAGTCTCCAAAGCAAAGATTTATTTGCATTTGCTGCCAGGATAGACCTTTGAGCCAGTTCCAGTTTGAATTCAGAGGAGTCTTTACAGGCTGCTTGATCTACTGATATGTACACCAAGCGCACTCCCTAGTATTACAGTGTAGTACAGATTTGAATGTAAACCAGCCCTCTGTGTATCGCTCCATGTGATTTTATAAGGAGCTGGAAGACACTCTGAATGTCAGTAACTTCTTTGGGGTTCTCAGGAGTCCATGGTATTGTATGTTCACTTATGAAGCCAAGAATGCTCCACCATGTGTTCTTCCATTGGATGAGTAAAGGAGCCATGTGGATTGGAAGGCTGGCAAAGATTTTTTTGTTTGAGACCCCTCCTGTTGTCTAACCATCTTCTGCATGCTCATTTCTTTTCCAGCCTCTCTACAAGTGGACATTGTTCCAAGCCAGGGAGAGATCAGCGTTGGAGAATCAAAGTTCTTCTTATGCCAAGGTGAGTGATGGCTTATGGCATCGGTTGTCTTTATCAGGGTTTGCTAGGAAGGTGACTCAATGTATTAACTCTGGGATAAAAGCTCCAGTGTCAGGTGTAGCTGCAGTATCTCTTGCTCTTTCTTTCTCATTTGTCCTTAATGGTTTATAAGATTGAGTGGAAAATGCAACACATGCTGTTTACTGGAAACAGTAAAAGCATTCTCCCTTGAGAGCTGGCAACAGAAAGCAGCTCCAGCAAGTGGATTTTAAAGTGAAAAAAAAACAGGTACAGAAATGTTGTCTTTCAGCTGAGCATTAACCACAACAATGGCACCTTGCGTCATTCTGCAGCTCTTTGATCCTTGGAATCTAAAATAAGCTTGTTGTTTTTCCAGTTTATTTCTCTAATCAACTGCTAACAGCAGTAATGGAAGTGCTGGGTGGCTTGAGAATGGCTGCCTCTGCAGCTAAGGTTTTTAATGCTGCTGAAAACCTGCATTTCTTGTGACACAATTTACCGTTTGCTCAGGCCACCAACTGCCCCAGGCTGCTTTCCTGTGCAACGTGGTGCAATGCTGACCTGATCTGTGTGCCCCAAAGCGGTTACCACAATTTTAGGGCATTTTTCAAATTAGCATCCACATGTCCTCGTGAGAGGTTCTCCTGAAAGCAGCTGGCCTGGTTTCTAATGGGAGAAACGAGTATGTTGGAGCACTGACATGATAGCATCCTGAAGCATGGCATAGAGCAAATAGGTGCTATCGTGAGCCCTGGGAGCCGGAGCTCAAAATGTGTTAGAGAGCCACACTTCCTCAGGAGCATACTAACTAGGGCAAGGAATGAGGGCATCTGATCCAGGAGTGCCTAACTGCAAAGTAATTTGTTTATGCCAGTGCTTTAAAAATGAAAGTATACTCTGGCCAAGTGCTGTTGTGATGATATTTGCATTCAGAAACTGTGGGATCAGTTAAAGGCCCTCCAATAATAGTTTGTCCCAAATACCAAAGCCACACTGAGGAATGCAGAGATGTGAGCTGCAAGAGACAGCCTGGAACCACTTATTAACAGTTCTGATTTACACTGAATGCGGCAGGAGGCTGAAGCTGATCAGTGCCAGAACTGCTGCTACAGTTCACTGTCACATTTTGGTATGCAAAGTAGCCCAGTGTGCAAGTACAAGTATTTATTAAAAACATTGTATTTAAAACATTAAAAACAAGTATTTATTAAAAACAATGTGAAGCAGGAAGAGATTCTTATTTTTCAGGCTGATCTGCATAGAGGAGGGACTGGGATATGGGATCTCAGGATGCATAGAAGGCCATTCTGGGCTGAAATGAGTGTACCCCTTTAGATTATAAAACCAACCTAATATCATTTTTGCAGGACAGCAGCTGACCATTCACAGTGCTGTGAGAGAGAGTTTTCTTTGCTTGCTTCTCAGGTACCAGAAGCCCTTCCCCTGAGTCAGTCTTCTGCATAGTGCTACTGGTTGTGTTTAATTCCCTCTGTGCAGCTTTGTCGGGAACTCATTTCAATTTGCTCTGTTTTCTTTTATTGTCCCTAGTGGCAGGGGAGGCCAAATACAAAGACATTTCCTGGTTTTCCCCTAATGGTGAGAAGCTGACGCCGAACCAACAGCGCATCTCAGTGGTGCGAAACGATGACTTCTCCTCCACCCTCACCATCTACAACGCCAACATTGATGATGCTGGCATCTATAAATGCGTTGTCAGTAGCATGGAGGAGGGAGACTCCGAGGCCACCGTCAATGTGAAAATTTTCCGTAAGAGACCGGCTTCGAGGCTATTTTCTGTTCTACCTTGCACATGTATGAGGCAAGATTAGGGAAGTGACCATTTTACCATACTAGAAAAGGCTACTTTTAAAGGGAAAGAAGGAGGGTGAAAATAAAGGGGGTGTTAAGAAGTTACAGCCTTTTCCTTTCTTTGTTTTCAGGGGTAAGTGGGAATTAGGATATGGATGATAGACATGTTATAAGACTAGTGTTCAGTAAAGAGGATCACACATTCAGAAGGGTTATAATAAACCGTCACATATTGTCCAGCAAAGCCATGACAGCAGCTCCTCCCCTTTCTGCCAGGAAGCTGAGCAGTTCCAAGCTGACATTTTCTCTTTGCATTGTAGACAAATCTGTGAGCTAGCTGGAATATTAATTTGGCTCACTGAAATGCCTGGGAGGCAGGGATGGAAAATGGGGTTCCTGTGATGTGTTGCAGTGCATTGAGTCAGGCACACCTTTATCCTTCCCTGAGAACAAGATTTCTGCAGAACATGTCCTCTGGGGTGTTTTTTGCTTTCCTGAGGCTTGAGTCAGGAGCACAGCTTTGAGGTGTGTCAAGAAATCTGCAGTGACTTTCTCCTTCTGTTGTTTTCAGAAAAACTGATGTTCAAGAATGCTCCCACTCCTCAGGAATTCAAGGAAGGGGATGATGCTGTGATTGTGTGTGATGTGGTCAGCTCACTGCCTCCTACCATCATTTGGAAGCACAAAGGCAGGGATGTTATCCTAAAAAAAGATGGTAAGGCACAAAAGGTGTCTCAGTCCTTGTCTGTCCAGGGGTCAAATGTCTGTTTCCCATCAGGGCTCAGATCAGCCTCATACAAGGCGTTCAGGAGAACAAAATTATGGCAGTCACAAGGGAGGACAGAAGCAATTTGTACGTGATGCTAGGTCTTAGGATGTGAACCTAGTTATTCCAGGTGCTGTGGTTTGGCAGTGGCAGGGCAATAATGTTCCCACAGAAAAGGCCATCAGGCTTTGATGCTGGGATGCTGAAAAAGATCTTTAGATAAAAGAAATGCCATCAGACAGAAAAGCTACATATTGTGACCCTTTCTAGTCTTCCTAAGGAAAAAGGGATGAAAACTCCCTGCAAGAACCTTTCACTTTCATTCAAAATGCTGCAGACTGTCATGCTCAGAGGAGCATTTTACTAGCAGAAGGGCTTCAGAGCCCTGACTCCAGTTGAGCCTTAGCTGTGTTTCTCATACCTACTTGATTCAGGCAACTACGCACGAGCGTAGTAAGACAAACTCTGCCACCCCGGGGCAAGAGGGGCAAGTTTCAAATTGCTTGTTGTCTGATACTGATTAAATGTAAATGTGCTTGTGTATGGGTGTTTTTTTGTGTGCACTTAGGGTATAAAAAAACAGAGCAGTTTGCAAACATCTGGTTTCTTTCTTGGCAATGTCAGGTCCAGTTACGGCAGCGTCATCATTAAGTGATGGGAAGGGAAGTTTCATTACACTAAACCTTATCTAAGCCTAAAAAGGGCAAGGAGAGGAGAAGAACTTGTTGCCTGCAGTGAGCTTTCCTGAGGATCTGTGGATGAACCTTCCTTTTGTCTTTTCTAGTTCGATTTATAGTCCTGTCCAACAACTACCTGCAGATCCGGGGAATCAAGAAAACGGATGAAGGGACATACCGCTGTGAGGGCCGGATCTTGGCTCGTGGGGAGATCAACTTCAAAGATATTCAGGTCATCGTAAATGGTGAGCAGCTTAGAGTGAGGCTAATATGGGGACAGCATATGTAGCACATGAGCTCCAGGCTGCTGATACAAATGTTACTTTAGATTCACATTCATGATTTGCTATCAGCTTACTAATCATTCTTTGCTGTGTCAAATAAAAATGTCCATGAAATTGACTGAGTCTTCACCACATGTTTATGGGAAATTACCATGTCAAGTGAAACCTTAAGTGTTTTATGACTTAGAGTGAGGTGTAGATCTTGTTGGGGCTCACAAATAGTTTGGTCTGCAATGCTGATGTTTTGTGCCTCTCCCCACCCCCTGCCCTACCTTCCTTCTGCTGATTGCTTTGGAGAGCTCAAGCATCAAAGCTGTTGATTGAAACCTGCGGGTGATGGCATGAGGGTTTGAATTACTAGGGGGATGTGTGTGTTTGTATTGCAGAGATTTACAGTGAGCCTTCCAGGGCTCATTCTTGCATCTTCTGTCCTTTCTAACTTGAATGTGGATTCCTTCTCTTCTAGTACCTCCTTCTGTGCGTGCCAGGCAGAGCACTATGAATGCCACTGCCAACCTCAGCCAGTCTGTCACCTTAGCATGTGATGCCGATGGCTTTCCTGAGCCAACAATGACGTGGACAAAGTAAGATGCTGTGTGCAGTGTCCTCATTACGTGTGCTGATTGTGTGTGAGCATGGATGTTTTTGCCAAACCAGGCAGAAGGGAAAACAACTTTTTAACTGGAATAAGATTAATTCATTTTTCTCACAAGGGAAAGAATGGCCTCCTAACAGAATTGCAGTTAGCTTGTTTTGGGTTAGCTCCCAACAGGCACACAGACACTCAATATGTGATGAGTAGGGATGGGGAGGAGAATCTGAAGGGTAAAATCCAAAAATTCGTTGATTGAGATAGATAAAGACAGTTTGATAGAGATAAAGCAAACTGTGCATGGAAGCAAAGCAAAATAAGGAATTCATTCAGTGCTTCCCATTTGCAAGCAGATGTTCAGCCAGGTCAGCTTTCCCAGCGCCCAGTTTCTTGTGCACCCCCAGCCTACTTGCTTAGAAGGGCAGCGTGAGAAACAGAAAAAGCCTTTTGACGTTGTGTGTATTTTAGCAATAGCTGAAACATCACTGTGTTATCAGTGCCGTTTTGGTCACAAACCCAAACCAGCACCATATGAGCTAGAGTGAAGAAAATTCACTCTGTCCTACCCAAAACCACTACAGATCCCTGGAAAAACAAGAACAACAGTAAAACCAGTGTTTTTTCACTGTCCCATTGCATCCTTTGTCAAGCTGCAAATAGAGATGAAGCTTCATGTTGATCAGACCTGTCTTGTGGGTCAGTTTATTACCATCTGTTCCATGGCGGGGAAATGTAGGCAAAAATGGATGTGTAATTTGCATTTGTTATTCCCAGAGATCTCATCTAAGTTGTTTCTCTTTGTTTCATCATGCCTAAATTTCACTGTCAGGCAGTGATACAGACTTTAGGTATGCTGTTGCTGAAACTGTGTAGCCTTTGGTAAAGATTACAAGAGCAAGTTGTGTTGTTGAAAAAGCTGCTGACAACTTGAAATACTGCCTTGGTATGCAAGGACAGAAGCCACCTTCAGTGGTGTTTATAGCTCTTACGTGTAGGCTATGGTGTGTGTCAGGAGGTGGAAGATTCAGCTGCCAAGAACCCTAAGGCAGGAGGGTTAGGAATAGATCAAAATGTAAGCTTTGTGGCTCTTAGGGAAAGGAAAAGATGGTGATCCCTCTTTACCTGAGGAATCTCAGTACAATAATGCAGTTCTAGCATTAGCAACAAGCCTAAAACAAGCAGCATTTGATTGCTCCTCCCCTCCAACAGTCAGTGTGCTCTGTGCTCTGCAGGGATGGAGAGCCAATAGAAGAGGCTGATGATGAAGAGAAATACAGTTTTAATTATGATGGGTCTGAGCTCATCATCAAGAAGGTGGATAAGAGCGATGAAGCAGAATACATCTGCATTGCTGAGAACAAGGCTGGCGAGCAAGATGCCACCATTCATCTCAAAGTCTTTGGTAAATATGCTTTTACTGTTCCTCCCTTCCCAATCCAGTTGGATATTGGTAGCTCACTAGTGCAAGCTGGAAGTAACCTGCTTATCCCAGTTAATACCTGATGTGGCTTATCCAGAGCTGCTCCTTTCCCAAGTAATGCTGTGCATCTTTGCCATCATGCCAGGCAAAAATTCTCTGTATGTTTCTGAAATAGATGCCAACTCCATTCTGCTTGCTCTCTGATAAAAGAAATTCAGTCCTGCATAGGGGGAGGTGTGAAATTGACATACTACTTGGAATATCTTCCAGGCCCCGAGGGCTGAATCCTAATCCACACAAAGATGTTGTTAAAAGGGCTTCAGCACTTCAGTGGGACTTGCTATAACTTGGGCAGGGAGGTGAACTCCACCCCACCACTGTGTTGCTTTTTCTTTTCAGCAAAACCCAAAATCACTTATGTGGAAAATAAAACAGCCATGGAGCTGGAGGATCAGATTACACTGACCTGTGAGGCATCTGGGGACCCAATCCCTTCCATCACTTGGAGAACTTCCACCCGGAACATCAGCAATGAAGAGAAGGTATAACCCTTCCCAAAACCATGATCTCATTTGCTGGGATCAGTGCAGCTTGTACCTGCCTGCCTCTGCTAATCCAGAATGCATGACAGTTGCATGCAGATGCACATGCAAGTCATGGTGATTTCCCTCTCTGTAGTGAGAGCGCTTGTGGCAGTCCACAGACTAACTGCTAAAAGGTCAGCTTCACAGCCAAAGTAAAGCTGTAGGTGTCCTTTTGTAGAAAGAACCATCTCAGTTTTATAACAACCGAGGATATGCTTTTTAATTCCTGCTGGTATCACAGCAGTAGGCCCTGGACCCTTTTCAGAGGAGTTTCCAAAGGGACCTACAGTTGCAGGAAGCTTGTGAAAGGGTTTTCCCCTTCTTTTTCCAAGCTGACATAGGAATGCGCGGCCTGATTCCAGTGCTGTCCATGCTGGCATCATGATGATGATATGATCTGGGAGGGTGGCAGGTGGAGAGGTGTGGGGTATTATCTCTGAAAGATGGCAGTGGACCAAAATGAGCCTGTTAATTCCTTCTGTACTGTATTCTAATACTGCATGTATCTGAAGCACAAAAGCCTTGGCTGCTTTTGTGTTCACCTGTTTTGTTGATCACATCAAGACCATTTTGTCCTTAAAGGCAAAAATAATTAGCAGTTTTCCATTTAAAAAAGTGCTTTTTTTTTTTTATTGGCCACAATTTCTCTTAACTAGGTGAGATAAAAGGGTGTGGTATTACTGTTGATATTTCATAATAGCTGCATAACGTGATCAGGAGCACAGTTTTGAGCCAAAGGAAGCCTAGCCAAAAGTTGGAATGTTATTGCTTAATCTTCTAATAACAAAATGCTTCAAGGCTCAGTTAACTTGGGCATATGGTGGTTCTGACTCAATATGAAGGCCAGTTGATAGACTATGAAAGTCTTAAAGTGACAGAGGTGCCATCCTGCACTACAGGCTCCTAAATGAGCTTTATTAATTGCCTCAGTGATGTTGTCTTTTCACCATGTTGTTAATGCGTAACTTATTAAAGGCTTCCAGCCTTAATTCTTTCTTAACATCTTTTGGATTTGAGGACTAACATAAATCCTTGCAGTGTTTAGAGAGAGGTTTCCATTGCCTTCAAAAACATGGCTGGAGGACCTGTTTTGGTAGGACAAGGTTATTTATGGTCCCATCTCTCTCTAGGAGAGTGATAGGAGGAACTAAGTGCTCTAGTGCTTCTAACACTAGAGTTCGGTTCACAGCAACAGGAAAGAGCTTTGAAAGGGAGAGGAATATAGAATCTGAAAGAATACTAAATCAGATAGAAGTTTGTCAGAGAGCCTGTTTGCAGAGAGTCCCATCTGTCCAGCTTAATTAAATTAACAAGATCTCAGTGGCAAAACTGCTAACCATTTTGAGACTCATATATCTTGCTTGATGCTGTTAAGTTGGTGATCAATATTAAGGAAAATGTTAATACTCTGATAGTTTCTTACATAAACTGGGGGCAAATTCCAAGTTTTGAGATACTACCACATGTTTTATGTACTGGTTCAAACCTTCAGAGCAAAGATGATGTTTATCATGTCCTAAGCACTTTTTGGGCAGGTTTTGTGTGTGTGTGTGTGTGTTTTGGTTTGGTTTTTACTTTTTCCCATTCTCTGTCATGTGCTATAAGTTTAGGTGAATGGTGTAGATATCCAGAAAATCCTCAGGTCAAGTTAGATTTGAAAAAAATTCTGTTACACGTTCAACTAAATGCATATATCCAGTTTACTATTGACTTACTTTCTCTGGGATTGCACAGGGAAATGGATGGTCTTTGGTGTAGGACAAACAATACTACTTTTAAAATATCAAGCCCTACTTTAGACTATGTTTTAGGGTACTTGGATGCATCTGTCTTGCTACATGTTGTTTACTTGTGTAGTTATAACTCAGGCCAGGTTTTAAAGGTCTAGAAGTGCCTTAACTCCTATGAACATTTGGTATTTCAGAAAAACCAAGCAAAAACCCCCAAGCAAAGAAGACCCCATCTTTGCTTAGTGGCTTCCCCCTCTCAATCTTTGTCCAAGAACAGAGACAGCCTGATGTGTGGAAGAGGGATGGGAGGTGTCTTAGGTTGACAATGTCACGATTGTTTCAACATTCCCACATTTCCCTGAGGAGGACCGTTGATACTCTGGCATGCATAGCAGAATAATCTTCTCTCTCTGGCTATACCTACATAACATTGTACCCCTTGTGCAGACAATATTTTGCTTTGAGAATGGTCTGTGAAGGTTTGAGTGAATACAGTCATTGTGACTGTGCTTAGCATGATCAGATGATTGGCAACTGTATACCAACACAGATGAGCAGACCAAACTTCCAAATACTGGCATGATGGAAGCTTCCTCTTACTAGTAAAATGGCAGCTTGTATTCTTCTGCCCTGTCAGTCTGGAATTCCTATGTATTACTACTGCAAAACATAGCAAGAGCTAGCAGGCCTGGAAAGTTATCAACGTGATGATTTGAAATGGCTTGGCTTAATCACCTGAAGTATTTTTTGCTGTGCCGTTATAGGGAGTAGGAATCCTTTCTCTTTGTGTGAGACCAGATGTAAAGCTGTTCAAGGCAGTATGCTATATTCCTTAGCACCTTTAGTATATTTCATGGCCTTTCAAGAGACTTTTCTATTGCTCTAGCAGAATACTAACTGTGATTCAGTTAATATAGTTTTGATGTGTTGTGTGCTGGTTTATACAAGTTTTCCATTTTAATGCAGACATGAGTGTATTTCCTGTCAGATTTCTGAAGGAGGTAATTGCTGAGTACTCATATACATGCTTTCATGAAACAGTAGTGGAGACAGCCCTAGGTTTCTTACCCAGCGGTATAGCTCCGTGTGTGAGGAGTGGGAGGGGTGCCAAGTGACGCTTGTGTTCAGGTCTTTTATCATCTTGCCAGAAGTGGCAGTAGGTATATCTGTGGCATAGGATCTCGCATAGGATTCCAAAATTTTATATAAGCTCCCATTTAACAACTTTCTTCTAAAGGGAAGATAAAATGCTAGCATGCATGAGGCTCTCGGTTCTGCTCTGTCCCCTGCATGATGCTGAGTAGAGATTGTGTGTCTCTTTGTCTTTGTGAGGGAGAGTTAGTATTAAATTATTCAGGATAGAGAATGTGGTTCTACCTTTTTCTTTTTTCCCCACACCGAGTGCCTTAGGAGTGTGGGAACAGGCCTTTATTCTCCTCCATCTTCCTTTAGATTGACAGGTACTGAACACCAAAGGATAAAAAGATGTTGTCTTCTTTTTTAATCCCTCTGTGCTGACACCATACTTTGTGAATAGGATTGAAAGGGGACTTGCATGCATATAAGCAAAGCAGTTCCCTTGGTAGCTTGATTTGCTCAGGTACAGAGAATGACTGGCACATCAAAAAGGGATTATGCTGAACTATTACAGTTGCTTGTTCATCTTTCAAGGAAGCTGTGCACAGCAGGATATATATATACACACAGTAATGATCAGATAATGGGGGTGTCCTACCCATGCAGGTGTTGGTGAGGTCCACTTCAGGTGACTTCACCTCAGGCCTCTAGTTAAAGCAAGTAACTTGCTTTTATCAAAGCAGGTCTAAATGAGGCTGTGTGTACCATATGTTAATACTCTCACGATATTCCCTGGAAGCACTGTGGAAATAATATTATGGGATTTTTTATTCTTATTTCCTAAGCTTTCATCTCCATTTCTGTAATGTCACTCTTGTGTATGCTGTTATACCCCCATGTCAGCAATGCTTGTGCCTCACATTCAATCATGCCATCATGGCTGTGATATTAGCAGGTGATTTTTGACTGCTGAACTGAAATGGATCAAGTTGCAATTGAAATAGAGACCAGAAGAAAAATATCTTAAAGATAAATTATAGGGGGAAAACAACCCAGCAACTTTTTGTCTTTCTGAACTATAGTGAATGTGGTCCAAATGGTTAATGGCTTTCTCTGAATGGGAAATGTATGTTTATTGGTAAGGTTTGTGCATGTTTCACATGTGTTGTTTGGTTGTCCCAAGTCCAGTAAGGATTGGGTGCACATAACCCTAAGCATAAGGAGCTGGATGTTATCATCTGCAGGTACAGGGTTCTACCCTGCTCTCTCCTGTCCACAGGGATTAAACTGTTGCAATGCTCTGTAGCTCAAGGTCTCCTACTCCTGGCACAGTATGCATGTAAGAATGTGTACAAATGCATGATCCCATTAAGGATATGAGTGTTAATGTTAATCACTGTGTGCGGGTAGCTAACAAGCCAGTCTTAGAAAACCAGTTCCATAACTATTTAATGCCACAGGTCATCAGAATCACTTCTCCAGTGTGCTTGGAACAGGTTTCTAAAAATAGTGAGATGTGACAAGGGAAATAGTCACTAGATATGTAAAACCAGAAGCAGTCTTTAGGTATCATTAGCCTTTGCTTAATCATTTAAGGACTAATTTATAGGTTATGAAATTTGAATGCAAAACTAAATGATGTTATAGTGGGAAATGGAAATTGTGATCACCCCACACACGTGAGATATACAAGTTGAAGCCTGCATGTGCACAGAACGCAATGTGGTGCATACAATATGATACCTAAAAGCAACCTTTGATAAACTTTTATTGCTTTTTTTTCCTGTTGTCGTTGTGTTCTATATCTGTTCTCTCCAGGCTTCGTGGACCCGACCCGAGAAACAAGAGGTATCAGATTACCAGACCTTTAGCAAACTTCTTAGTTAATTTGATTTTGGTTCTTTTTTAGGCATTACAGATTAACAGATCTCTAGTGCAGTAACCACGCCAACTAAACCAGCATTAATAATATGAACAGATTAAATATCAATACATAGAAGAAACAGCTTATAGAGTTAGAAGTTGCTTGCCATGTAGTAATGCATTTTTGGATGAGCAAACTAGCTGTGTTGGGAGTGAGTAAAAAAAACCAAGACAACTAAAAATAAAAGCAAATGTCAAATCTGACAAATACTGCTTTCACCGTGTCCTTCTATTCTACCAGTATGAATCATATCTCTCTTCTAGAGTTTTAAGAATTAGCAACAGTGTGTATTGTGAAAGAGTATTTTTTCCCAAAGATAGCCACTTTTGCTCCAGCCAACTCATCTGTTTGCTCATGGTATTATGTTCCATTTCAAAATCAATCCAGATAAATCCTTCACAAGTTGTATTTCTCCAGAAAATGCTCCAAATTTCTGTACTTTTATTTTTCCTTGATTTGCAGGGTCATTGGGGGGGTGGGAATAGTGTAGTAACTCAGTTTGGGGCAGTTAAGGTTTGTTGCCGTTTTATTTCACACTCAGTGCTGTATTTTAAGACTCACAACAACCTGCCTTTGCATGTCCCTGATTTGTAGCATTCCTACTTCAAAGTGGAACAGGAAGTTTGTTTCCGAGCAAATAATAGGCGTCGGGTAGAGAACAAAATTAGCTGTCAGAACTGGATGACTCATATTCATATGTTTAGGTGAATTTTGTGGAGGCTCTGGGTATCCTAAATTCTTTTTTATTTTTAAGCCAACTTAAAACTTAAAGACTGGTGTGGACTAAACAAAGTGAACCTTAAGCACCATCTGCCTTTGTTTCATATGGGGCTGAGAAGATACTGCCCATTCTTACTTCAGAATAATCTCTTGGAATAGGTGAATTGTGAAGTGAAAGCATCAGATATTCATACCACTTTGCCCTGGAGAATTTGGAATTTGAGTACTTGCATCTCTTCAGGCCTCATGTGAACTCCTATTACAGTTTTCTCGGCCTCCCCTCACTCCCCCAGTGTTTTCACTGCGCTTTCTGTCTCAAGCTTTTTATTAATCTGAGCATTAATACTACTAAGCTTGCTGTCTCTAAATTTCTTACTGTATCCATGTCTTAAAATACCCAAGTGAGATTCTGTGAGAACATTGCTGAAGCTAATTGTTGCAGCTTGTGTAGATATATCTTTAAGATAGCTGGCACAGGGTCTTTTAGCAGTGTATTGCAGCATCAGGGAGTTCAGTTCTCAGGAAGCTGAGTGAATACTTGGTATTGAGTGTTTCACTTTTATTAATGCGTTAGCTAGGTTAAAGTAAGGAAGTCTCCATGAGTTTCAGCCATAGCAGCATATATGGGTGTTAAGTTGTGCTTTGGAGGTACAACTGCAATGGGCTGCTTCTTCTCTAAGCCACTTTCAGCTCTACTTACTATACACAGTCTATCATTTGATGAGAAAATGAACATGAGCCAGCAGTGTGCACTTGCAGTCCAGAAAGCCAACTGTATCCTGGGCTGCATCAAAAGGGGCATGACCAGCAGGTCGAAGGAGCTGATCCTGCCCCTTTACCCTGCTCTTGTGAGACCTCACTTGGAGTACTGTGTGCAGTTCTGGTGTCCTCAACATAAAAAGGACATGGAACTGTTGGAACAAGTGCAGAGGAGGGCCACGAGGATGATCAGGGGCTGGAGCACCTCACGTATGAAGACAGACTGAGAAAGTTGGGGCTGTTCAGTCTGGAGAAGAGAAGGCTGTGTGGAGACCTCAGAGCAGCCTTCCAGTATCTGAAGGGGGCCTATAAAGATGCTGGGGAGGGACTCTTCATTAGGGACTGATAGGATAAGGGGTAATGGGTTAAAACTTAAACAGGGGAAGTTTAGATTGGATATAAGGAGGAAATTCTTCCCTGTTAGGGCGGTGAGGCACTGGAGTGTGTTGCCAAGGAAGTTGTGAATGCTCCTTCCCTAGCAGTGTTCAAGGACAGGTTGGACAAAGCCTTGGGTGAGATGGTTTAGTGTGAGGTGTCCCTGCCCATGGCAGGGGTTTGGAACTGGATGATCTTAAGGTCCTTTCCAACCCTAACTATTCTATGATTCTGTGTCTCAGTTCACCATTCTAGTCCTGCATATACTGGAGAATTGTTGAAAGTCATATTACCAGCATACACTAACAAACCCCACATTGTCACCAACAGATGCTAAAATACTCTCTTAGAAGCAAAATTACACCTCGGTTACACCAGAAACTGGTGATGCCTTTCTGGTACCTGAGAATTAGTGCAACCTTACAAATATTAAGAGCTGCAGGTGAGTTCTGGTTAGCGCAGTGCAGGCACAGAGCTAGGAGAGACCACTTGTCTTCCTCCAATGGAATTTATAGCAGTGGTCAGGCTTTCAGGGTGTAATGTCCACGTTGTTTTGTAATGATGTGTGGAAAGTGGGTGAGGTGAAGATACAACTGTATGAAATTAAGTCATGGATACTTCTTTGTGAAAAAACTGCAAAATCCAGAAGGTGGAGGGGAGGGGTTGAAATGCATTTCCCACTTGTCTCTTTTCTTCCCCTTTGGCATTGAAGTACTGAAATCTAGGCCAGCTTTGTACATCCTGACTATGTGCCACGTGGTATTGTCTGAATTTGGAGAAAAACACCAGCATGTATCTTGGGATAAGTTGTAGTAATTGGCAATATAGAGAACCATCATACCCTTTTCTGTAAAGTGGCAGTTGCTATGCCATGAGTTCTGTTGACTGTGTCCCTTACCTTGTCTCCCTCTTGCTGTGAAGTGGTTTTTTTTATCCACAGTCCTCAAAATCAAAGATACTAGGAGAAGGGATGACAAGTATATCTGTATCTGGCTCAGTTTCTATCCTGTGTCTCTAATAGCAAGGAATTATTAGCATGTGATGGTGTGAAATATGAATAAACAAAACATGCTTTCTTGGGTAGTCGTTTTTGTCTTCATTTTCTTCAGTTGAGTATTTTTCCAGATCTTTCTTTTTTGTTCCTTTTGCATTAAGAAACAGAGCTTCATCTTCAGAGTCGTTTGCATTACTTGTAAAGTTATCATTTTACCATGACTACCTAGCACTCTTTTGTTTGTGTTAGATGTTGACAAAGTGGGGAAAAGGCAAGTGACACTGGATGTAAATTACCTTTGCTGTAATGATCATAGGCTGGTATTTTGCTATTTTTATACTAACAGAGTTTATACTAACATTTACTAGTAGAAACTCCGTCAGTCTTGGAGGCTGAGACTACTGACTTGGAACAGAAAGAGACTTCAGGCCCAGAGGATCTGACCAATTGAGACCAGTAGAGATGGACTTAGCGCTACAGCTCAGTGTCTTTGGCTGTTTAATATATCCCAGGGCTTTTACTTATAATCTCAGTTCTTCTCCTCTATCTTCCAGGAAAATTAAGTGTTCTTGGAGCATTAATTGCATTAAGTCTGCCAGGCAGCAGCAGCAGGCACAGCCATGAGGATGAGAGTTCCTAATTTATTCACTTGTGCTTGTGCCACTTTGGCAACAAGACGAGAGAGTTGGTGCTGTAAAGCTTTCAAGCTGAAGTACAAGTACAAAAAGCTTGCACAAGCACCAGGGTGGAGGGATGAGCCCATGGCCTCATGGAGCACTTGGGCTTTGGTCACAAATTGGAGAGAAACACAGTAGCCATCGAGGAGGTTTTCCATGAGAGCATGTGGCAAAAATTGGCGAGAGCTGGATCTGTACAGTTCCCATTCTGGGAAGAAGTTGACATTGTCTTCAGACAATTAGCATCTGATACTTTGGTCCTTTGTCTCCTTTTTTTTCCTTTGCCTGAGTGCTTTGAATCACTGCAGTTGGTCCTGAGCAACAAGAAATCTTCTTGTTGCTTTTGGAAATGCCTCTCTTGCCCATGACTTCACCTGGCCTCAGGTGATCACTTCTGAAGACATCAGCATTAGAGGGCTGGTGAGAGGTAGACTGGCACTTGTTCCCATCCCTTTATTCTGCAACCACAAGCTCAGTGCTCAGCCTCTAATTCTCTTTTCCTTTCTTGCCAGACCCTGGATGGGCGCATCATAGTACGTAGCCATGCCCGGGTGTCATCCCTGACTCTCAAAGACATTCAGTACACAGATGCCGGAGAATATGTATGTACAGCCAGCAACACCATCGGGCAGGACTCCCAAGCCATGTATCTTGAAGTGCAGTGTAAGAAGTGGAGAATGGGGTGGGGAAGGTGTTCACGTATTTAGAGGGGGGACTGTTCTGGTTTCCTGTGATGAGACTGAGGCACTTACAGCTAGGGACATGTTGTTTGAGTAGTGGGCATGGGAAGCAGCTGGGTCTGAAATCATTTTGTTGGAGACATGTTGATGTGTGCATACATGTAAATGTTTGCTGTAGCTATCTCCAGCTGGGATACTGTTTGCACTTTGGGAAGATTCCGGGCCATGAATCTGCTGCAGTCGCATTTGTTGGGTGCATCATAGTTCTTCCCTAGGGGAACTTCCTGGTATACAGTTCCCTAGACGCATAGCATGCTGTCTGCTCTGCCTCCCACACTGTATTAGGAGCAACCTTTGGGACTGATTAGCATTCCTTCTTACATCCCTCATCAAGACATTGCTCACCCCACCCCCGATATAAGAAGACAGTTCCCATTTCCTTAGAAGATTCCCTTCCCCACATTAAACTGGACCCAAGCCAAGGGATCCTTAAAGTCAGGCGGATTGGGCTACTTTAGGAGATTTTGTGGCTTAAATTGCCTTTTCAAATGTGTCTGTCTTTCAGATGCCCCCAAGCTTCAGGGCCCCGTGGCTGTCTATACCTGGGAAGGGAATCAAGTGAACATCACCTGTGAGGTATTTGCTTACCCCAGTGCTGTCATCTCCTGGTTCCGGGATGGACAGCTGCTTCCCAGCTCGAACTACAGCAACATCAAGATCTACAACACTCCATCAGCAAGCTATCTGGAGGTGAGCAAAAGCAAGGAGAGGAGAAGGCACATGCAGCCAGGAAGGTTCATTACTATCAAACAATTGATGTTGCTGATGTTGAAGGAGTTAAGTCTTTTGTCATAGCTTACTGTGAGCAGACAAGTTGCATGGTGTTTCAGGCACATAATTGCTAAGAAGATTGGATAATAAAAGACACCACCCCTCCTTGCCTTTGACTTTTTGCCTGCTGCAGTGTTGTCCTCTGTGGACAGCTATCAGAGTGTTAGCACATGTACTTCATTGTGGCTTCTCTCTCCTGCAAAATGCAGAGTGGAAAGTGTTTTCTGAACTGAGCATGAACCTTTGTTCCTTCCATAGGTGACACCAGACTCTGAAAATGACTTTGGGAACTATAACTGCACTGCTGTGAACCGCATTGGCCAGGAGTCCTCAGAGTTCATTCTTGTGCAGGCAGGTGAGCATCCCAGGCGGGGAGATAAGGAAATGCATATGCATAACGCTGTGTTCCTTAATTTCTGACAGCCATTGCGTATGTGCTTAAGTGTGCACGTGTGCTTTTCCACATCAAAGAAATATCCCTACTAGTACAGGTCGTGCAAGTTGGAAACCTTAGAGCACTGTGTGGCAACCAAAGAGGCCCACTTTCTCACTGCATGGTAGATTGGAAGGGCCTCTGGTGTCCTCTCCGGGCTGCCATAAGGACCCATTTAGGAATGGTCAAGCTACGCATTGGACTGCCATATGGAAGACACTGTAAGGATAGAGTAGCAGCTAGGATGCTCTTGCTGCTCTGCTCTTGTTGTCCTCTTTTGAAGAAGGTACTCTAACTCTCTAGCCTTTTAGAGGAGGGACAAGATGGTTTCTTTGCTGTCTAATAAGCACTTCTTAACAGTTTTCCTTTCCTGAGGGGGGCCTCAGGCCTACCCATCTTCTCTTCTTTGTGAAGCCATGACAAGGGTACGTTTGATATTCCCAGTTTTCTGTTTTCTTTGCCACTGGAGCTTATTTCCTGTTGTCTTCTGCATCACTGGTTATTTTCCTTCCTTTCCCAGATACTCCGTCCTCTCCTTCCATTGACAGAGTGGAGCCGTATTCCAGTACTGCCCAGGTGGAGTTTGATGAGCCTGAAGCTACTGGCGGGGTGCCCATCCTCAAGTACAAAGCAGAGTGGAGGGCACTGGGCGAGGGAGAATGGCATTCGAGGCTGTATGATGCAAAAGAAGGTAGGGTGATAAAATGTTACTTCCCCCACCTGCATCTCAAAAGGCTTTATTTCCTTTAGGGAAAAACCGGAGTGGAGGGTTCCTTAACTTTGTAACTTCAGCTCCTAAGTTAAGGTCCCAGATAAGTTCTTAAAGCATTTGCTTTACAGTGACATATTTAATTTCCAGTTGATAGCTGATAGCTCTATGTATGTGACAGCCTTCACTGTCTACAGAGCATGTGTGGCATCACTATGTTCATCTTTTCCTTATTCACACCATTCTGTCTGAATGAGGTGAAGAACCCGGTGCCTGGTATTGAATGAGGTTTCACTTCCTGACTGGGGAGTGACTGTGTGCTTCCTAAGCTTTCCAAGCCTTGTCTGTCAGCTCTTCTAGTTACCCTTCAGTTCCCTTTGGAACATAAACCCTCCTATTCCGGAAGCAAGTCTAACTCCCATTACACTGTGAGAATACATACTGCTTAAAATGTATCCTTAAGTCCAGTAAGCCACAGGAATTTTGATTTGGGAGGACTATGAAGATTAAAGTTCAATTTCAGAGCTGAATCTTCCAGTCCTGGCTGGAGCCAAAATTCTTCTTCTAAGGTCTCTACTGGAGTGATCTGATCATAGCTGGAGTCATGTTTCTTTTTCCCATTTTTCTCTTTGTGTCTGTGCAGGAAAAATCGAGCTTATTTCTTTGTTAATACCACAGTGACCCCACAGCAGGTTCTTTCCATCTCTTACGTTGTGTGTGACCTTCTTATAAATCATTAAAGTGGAGGGATGGGTGTCTCTCCTTCTAAGGGCTTTGCTTTCAGTGGGATGATGCAGCCCAACAGATGAGTAGCTTTAGGTGGGATGTCTACTAAAGTTAGAGCCCCACATGACAGTGGTCTTGAAGAGCATAATTCAGGGCACAGGCCAAGGGCTGATGCCCTCTGGTGTCTACCAAACACTGCTATATCCCTTCTACAGAGGCTGTGGCAATACACCTCTCTAATCAGCAGGTTGACACAGGTGGTAGCTGTGACCTTTCACTTTGTTTGCACTGTTTATGTGAGGCTGGTCCTATTACGTGTGGCCAACACGGCTTAGTATACTGTAGAAACATGGCATTTGTTGTTGACCTAAAGCCTGAACGTTTTCTTTGCTTTTCCTGCTCTCATTTCTGCAAAAGCGAATGTGGAGGGCATGATCACTATCACTGGCCTGAAACCTGAAACAACCTACTCTGTGAGACTGTCTGCTGTCAATGGCAAGGGCGTGGGTGAGATCAGCCTGCCATCCGACTTCAAGACACAACCAGTTCGTAAGTAAAACTGAGTCCTCCCTCTCCTTCTCTGGTTCTCTTTCCTTGCATCTCTCCAGGAAACTTCTGCCATGCATGAATAACACCTTTTTCTCTTGCAGAACTTACCTTTGTTTTATTGTGATTTTTGGTTGTAATGAATTTCATTGCTAATTAAAAATCTTTGATAGGAGGCAGGGGAGCTATTTTACCTGCACTATTTTGTGCCATGGGTTACTATTATAAATTTTGTATTGTCAAAGAGAAGGGGCTATGCAGTGGGAAGTTGTAATAAGCAAAAGCAGTGAGTTGAGAAGGGTATTGGTCATAGAGAATGTAGCGTCATTGCCACAAGGCAGGTTTTTTTGCAAATCAAAAGTTAAGAGGTTCAGCATAGGACTGGCCGTGAGCTGTGGAAGGAAGGGAAAGGGATTTCTCTTGTCTGAAAATCAGTCCTTTAAAATTCTATGCAGCATGCAGGGTAATTTCCACAGCCTCTTGTCTACTTCACTTGGCTAATCAGGATGCTCTGATTTGGCCTTTCGCTCCTGTTTCAACCAGAAACAAGAGAGGCAAGAATTAAAAACCAGAGAGAAATTCAAGACAGGAAGGAGAAAAAGAGGGAAAAACAAGTGTAGAGTGCACAGGGGAGATGTGATAGAAACAGGCCAGGCAGAGGAGATCTCTTATCCTTGTACACAGCCTCATCCAGGTAGGGAACTGTATTCAACCACCTGCAACCCCTGGGGTTCTTTCCCATTCCACTTGCAGTTAAGATCTACAGTCTATTCTTTCCACTATCACACCTATACTTGTGTATCTATTTCATAGCTCTTCACTATGCAAGATCTTTTCCTGAATTCAGAGCTAGCAACAGTCCTAGCCCGTGTATGTGCATGCTTTGAGTCCATGTGATCCGTGCATGGTCTTGATTTTGTGTGCCAAATTCTGCCTCACTAGAGTTGCTGAGCAGTATGTGACAGTATACACATCTTGATTCTTGGAAATCCCAGGCCCTCTGCCCTAAGCCAGCCCTCGCAATTGATGTCTGGTCTGTTGTGATAACTCCTGTAACCTACCCCATTCCCTAGGGTTGGATTTGAGACAGCTGGTGGCATTTGGATTTTCCAGCTCTATGTTCTCTATCGCCTCATCTTTCTACATTTATTTTTTGTTTTTCTATCTCCGTCTTCTCTTTTTGTCTGTGTTCCATCCATGGAAAAACTGCAGGCATCCCTCACCCACGTAAGTGCCTCTCTGCATTTCTTTCACTCTCTTTTTATGTTTCTAGAGTGTTCCTCTAACATACATAACATTAGCTTTTAATCTAGTACCTTTTCCTCTCAGGATGTTTAGAAATGAAGTAACTGGTGCTGTCCACTTCCTAACAAGACTGACACAAGAATAGCTGTCCCACTATGGGTAATACTGCTCTATTTAGAAGAGAATTAGGGGTTAACATCTTTGTCTTTGCTGTAGAGCATGCAATTCCAATATTTAACTTAGTGATTGTCTAATAATAATAGTTAGCATGGTGACTAGAGAATGGAGTAGTGGAAGGCTTCATTTTTTATGAATCAATTAAATTTTTTCAATTTTTAATGAAATTAAGTTATTCGAGGGAGGAAAAAAATAATAAATCAGCAGGAGGAAGTTTTAGCTAAATTGCAGATCTGGTTTAGACCAATTGAAAACCAACAAAAAACTTCAGAATTTTGAATATCTTCATGATTTTGACAGCAAAACCTTGAAGGAAAAATTCAGGTTTTGCCTCTTCTCACTTTTTACTATTCGTGGTCTTTGGACAGTCTTCCAGCACTTGTGTAGATTGTATACTCAAGCAAATAAACCTCATACTAAATAAAAAATGCATGTTTTCCCCTTCCCAAAGCAAAGTGAATTAGAGATTTAATGGATATGCTTATTGTCAGCTGGGTTCAGTGAAACATTTTATGCTCCATAGCTTTGTGCCTTTCAAATTGGAGTTAATCAATAGTAGCTCAAATAAAGTGAGTGTTATTCTGTTTATCATATGTGTCCTTGTGGTGAACAGTTGATATTCCCAAGATTACGTCATGAGCAAGCTTTATGAAGCTGCTGTCACTTTTCTTTTGAGATTTCTGAAGCTAATTACAGGATTTGAATGCTGTTTTTCCTTAAGGATTTTATTACATTAAAGCTTGGATTTGGTGGACCTCTTAACATTATGAATGGATTGGTAGTCAAGATGGGTGAATGAATGGCCAGATGAATAGACAGATTTGCAAATTGCAGTAGTTACAAAGAGTCAACTGGGAGCCATGTTTCCAGAAGACATGCACAGTCCTTTGTCTTAAGTTGCTTGGAGCCTGTTAATTTCAGTAGAAGTATTATATGCTTTACATGAAATTAATCATGGTTAGTATTATAACTTTCAGGCAAATGATTTGGTAGGCCCTTCTGAACTGGACATAGTCCATGATACGCAAGGGAGATAAGGGTTTTAGGTGTTCAGTCCCTGTACAGATCAGTACCACAGGAAAAGGGAAAAGATCCAATTAAGAAGAGAGGAAAAAAGAGCATTAAAAGCTTTGTTTCAGCCACATGGACACGTCTGTCTGCCAAGCCTCATGTTCGTCACTTGGGGACAGGTACGTGGATTTGAAGAACATTAAATCACGCTCGTAGTAGAGTTTTTTTCCTTTTTGGTTTTTTTTTGTGGCAACCAGCCATCAGTCAATCTGTAGTCCCTAACTCTGCTCCCTTGTAGGGTAAGTTCCAGTTCTTTTTTCTTCATTGTGCCTTGAGCTGTGATCCTTCCGAGCATTCAGTTCTCTGATTCTTTCTCTGCTCTCTGGGGTTCTCAAAGCCCATCTCAAACCATGGACTGGGTTGCAGTGGTGGAAAGGCTGTTGGTACAACAGAAACCTTTTTTCCGTCTGTGCTGGAATTCCAGTTGCACAATGTTACCTTTCATGGACAAAGTCAAAAGCAGAAAAACATTGGGTGTCCCCATGTGTGGTGTGATTTGAAGATCACAAAAATGTTTCAGAAATTTTACAGGAAAGAATATAGAAACCGTGTTTTGACACCAGCCAAAACCTGGTGTTTTCCCACTAGGTAAAATAATGAGTTTTCCTTACCCTGTTATTTAAAATGTCTACTTGAATGTGAGAATTGACACTCTTCTTAAATGTTTGTTGGGCTATGTCCATACTGTTTTGGGGATTGGGTTATTTTTTTTGGTGGGGTGCTAGGCTAGCACAGATGAGAATTGTGGGGTTGGGAGGGTATCTGTCTACCTTGACCTGGATTTGTATTTTTTGCAACAATTTGCTGGGTTTCTGCACTTCCTGCTTTTTATAAACCTGAAGACAAACAAAGGCTGCACGCAGACCTAGTGTAGGGCTTCCTTTTGAGTCCCAGCTGTTTCTTGCTGGTTTGCAGGTGGGACCCAAATGTGTGTTATGCCACAAGAGTGTGTGTGTGCATATGGTGTGTTTGGGTTTGCTATCAAAATACCTTTTTTTTGTACAAAAAAGCAAACCAACAAACCACTAAAGTAATCCCCGAATTCCACTACATCCTAAGCTGGCAGTAGAGTACTTAGCAATGGCCTTCGCCAAAACAGTAGGTACGTACACTGTGTTTTGCTTACATATGATGCTGGCCAGCATCTCTGCTGGCCCTAAATGGCATTGGTTTGAACTCCTGGGAATGCTGCTGAACAGTGGTGTGTGTTCAGTGATCCTATGTGATCAGAAAGCTGGTCTACAGCAAGAACTTGCAGAGGAGCCAAAACGCAGGTCTGATGAAGCGCATTCACTTACTTTGAGTTCTATGGGCAGAGAGGCTTGATCTGACAAAATCTTACCAATTTGTGTTTTAATTTTCTGTCTTTTGGCAATAATTAATAGGAATCCACTCCCTTCCTCACCTTCCTTTCTCTTTCTTTAGCAAGTACTGCTGCACCCACTTCCCGTTTAGCAGACAGTGAGTATGGTAGAAGAAGTTGTTGTCCTTGTTCCAATTTGCTGTGCATGCTTCTCCTCACTGAGTGTGATGCAGTCTGCCTAACATCCTTGGGTGTCTTCCTTCTTTTCTGTATCTTTTTCTCCTTTTCCCTGAGTGAAACCTGAATCTTCAGGTACAGGAACTACAGATAAGAGTAAGTTTGATTTTCAGGACAGAGAAAAGCCACAGACTTTTTCTGGAGCTGTGGAAGAAAATGCATTTCTTTATGTCCTTCATAATTTTTTCAATCTGCATAATTGTATTTAGACTGCAGACTGCATGAGGGTGTATCCTGTTCTCCCTTCACACCAGCCACATTGATACCACCATGGGAGGAAAAGGAACTCATAGAAACATAGAACTTTTCAAGTTGGAAGGGACCCGTGAAGACCATTAAGTCTCACAGAACTACCCAGTCATCAAGATGTGACAGTGACACTTCTTTTCCTTCTGAAGATGTTACCTAGAATAGTAGAGAAATCCCTCACAGCTTGTGTTTCTCATGCTGCATTGTTCCCATGCCTTTTGCAAGTAGAGACATTCATCTCTGTCCTTCTTTTTTGGTAATCCTTTTATTCAATGCTTGTAAAGACCGCCTTTGCTCTTGAGAGTGGAGTGCTTAGTAGGATTCGCAAGGGGCTGTCAGTCTTTCAGCTTCTCTCAAAACTGCCTTATTTCTTAAGGGTGCTCACACCTTATTGGATGGTTAGATCTTTTTTTCTGCCTCCATGTGTGTACCCTTGGCTCTAGCTCTTGGAGGTAAGAAAGAAAAGTGTATCAGAAGCATTAGTCTTCGCTCCTGTTTGGGGCAAAAGTAGGCAAAAGTGCTGTAGCTGTCTGAAATTGGATTCAGAGATTCAAAACTCTCCTGGATGAAAAATCACCAGTAGGGACCCTTGGAGCAATAGCTTGCTGCAGGAGCCATGCAGTGCAGGCTGGCTTTCCTGTGAGCTGGAGGGGTCTGCATCTGGCAGCACCATTCTGCCTGTGGAGAAGGGATGGAAAACAGCAGCAGCAAAGCACAATTTTTTGCAGCCTCTTCAGGTAATACACACCTGCCATAAGGATTCAACATCATTCTCACTCTTCCTCATTAGAACTCCTCTCTTTCTATCACCCCTGCCTCTTACAACTTATTTACATGGTATGCTTCATTTTTACATGTCCTGTCTGTCCTTCATGTTTCCATAGCAACTCAGCTTCTTGCTGAAAATGGAAGCTCAGAGCCACCAAGTGAGTAGATGGGAACTTCTCCCCTTTGGTCTAGAGTGCTGTTTGTTACGCTGTAGTCCTTGTATCAAGGGAATTAGAGCACTATACCACATTATATTTATGTCTGTTAACTAACAATCTGGCATTAATACGTTGTATGAGCATGGAGCTGTTAAGAACCCAGCATGGTACTATTTTTCCTCTTCCTGTTACCTTACCAAGCATGCAGTAACAGTGGAAATACAAGTTTTAGAAGAAACATGAAAGGGAGAGAAGGGGGGAGAAGGGATATTTAAATTATCATTTCCAAAAGGAATGTTTTCCTTTCACGTTTTCCGTGATTTCAGTGTTACAGATGCCTTTGCCAAAAGGAACATCAACTAATTAATCTTTTTGCCACCTTGCCTTGCTCTATTTTCTGTGAATTTAGGGAGCTAAAGGTGATACTAGAGCAATGGATGTTGGATGTTGAAAGAAGATACAGATGAGGAGGTAGAATATCTTGTAGATGAGGAGGCAGAATATCTTACAAGAGAGCGGACTGTGGGAAGAGGGAGCATTGCCCCATCTTACCACTGATGCCCTGCCTGCGTTAAAAGGTTTAAGACTACACAAGAAGCTTATATCTGAAATGGGAATTGGATTCAGAATCCCTCATTTATTGCTCAGAACATTGTTGGTAAGGTAGCCATTCCTAGTGAGACTCAGTCAGGTATGCAGATGATTCCATGATGGATCTGAGTAGTCTAAGTTAAAAATAGCTAAAACTTGCAGATTACTTGATTTGTACATAAAATAACTATTCTGAAATGTCTGATTTAGTTACCTGTTAAGAGTTCAGTGACGCACCTTCCTGGTACTGAGTGGGTGTATCAAATGCTTGATTTAATCTCTACATGTAGGAGATTTATAGTCAATCACTTGCCTGTATGAAAGCCAAGTGAGTATTTGCAACAGTCCTGGAAGACGAAGAAAAACACTACATGGTGCATATGTGTGTTTTGAACAACTAATCATTTCTACAAAGCCAAATGCTTTTC